GGTTGGAGGGAGGGGGTAAAGGAGGTTTTGTGTGCGAGGGGCTTGGACTTCCAGCAGGCATGCGTGAGCGTGTTTGATAGGAGTGAATGGAGACAAATGGTTTTTAATACTTGACGTGCTGTTGGAGTGTGAGCAAAGTAACATTTATGAAGGGATTCAGGGAAACCGGCAGGCCGGACTTGAGTCCTGGAGATGGGAAGTACAGTGCCTGCACTCTGAAGGAGGGGTGTTAATGTTGCAGTTTAAAAACTGTAGTGTAAAGCACCCTTCTGGCAAGACAGTGATGGAGTGAATGATGGTGAAAGTTTTTCTTTTTCGGGCCACCCTGCCTTGGTGGGAATCGGCCGGTGTGATAATAAAAAAAAAAAATTTTCTTCACCGGCGTTGTATATGTTTTAATTGGTTAATTTTATTGATACCCTAACGTAAGCAGAAAAATTGGCTGAAATGTGGATGTTGGAAATAGACGTAAAATTTACGAGGATGGGTTGTATGTAGTCATGTGCTTTGAGGGGATGATGAATGGTTTGAAGGTCTGTACAGTGGGCTGTTTGTGGTGGTAGTATGTGTGCCAGGCATGTCACGGCGGCTGTTACCTTCACCCTGGCCGTGCACCTGCCTGCACTGCCGCCCACCTCTGCTTGCTCGGGGTAAACAAACTTCAATTTGAATGCAGGCTCACACACACACACACACACATGCGCGGCCCCCAGGCCCACAACCATGACCAGTCATAAGTCTGTTACAGGAGGGCGAACTAGACCAATGCATAGTGATGTGGTTTCTCAAGTAGCGTTGCGACTTGCCATTTACTAGGAATGGTTGTTAGTATAGCCTCGCCCTTCCTCGATATGGGTACACCATACCAAGTTGATTCAAGACAACTTCAGGGGACGGGGTGAGGCTTATGCGTATGTTTGACACTAGGAGCCAGTAGAGTGACAATAATGATGTCCTCAGGTTCCTTATCGTTTTGCATTTGACGTTTGAAGGTGTACTAACAACCACGTATACTTATTAAACTTAATTCCTACAAAGAAAACATTATCTTCAAATGAGGTGCCTTGATGCTGGTGAACGGACACAAGTGTGCAGTTACCCTCCCTTTCCTCGGATCAAGCCTGATTACCTCTCATTCCCCAAGCGCTATTTGACCCTCACAAGTTTAGTGCTTCCCAATATATAATAATAAAATTAATAATAATGTAAATAACATATAGAAGTTAACATTACGTTTTATTACAGTGAAAAAAAAGAGGCTGGTCAGTGGTCATACTTGTAGATATGATCAAATTACTGTAGTGACTGGTAATTAGAAAGCTTGAGAGGTGCTTGTTCAGGTAAGTGTTCGTAGCAGCCTAGCAAGTATTCACTTCCTGCACATTAAACACCATACCGCAAGAAATTACTCCTTTTATTTTATTCAAAAATATTTGGGGAGTCCAATTCGTCATTGACAATGATACAAAGGATTCCATTTTATGTCCAACAATGAAATAAACTTTAGTAGTTGTGTTCCTCTTAACAATAATTCCAATGCCTTGAGATGACTCAGCTCCGTCCCCGCGTCCCATTCATATTCCCGTTTAACATAATACTTCCAGGGGCAGGTTGCTGGTCACCGCCTCCAGACCCGCTCACCTTCACCCCCACCAGCAGATGACTCTCCACCCTGCCCCTCCCCTTCCATGACTCACTTATTACTCTCGCCCATTCTAATACTTCCTCTCTCACTCTTACTCTTGTTTTCTGTTTTAAGTTACTCACTGTCATGCAGACATATGAATTATACACTACCGTATAACAATTATTACTATTATAACTATCATTACTATACCATTACTTTTCATATTATTACTAACATATTATTACTATTATTGTATACAGAATGTTGATAGCATTCTGTCGTCTCTAAGTCATGACTGCAGATTGACTTAGATTAATGACACGGCGTTTTACAAATATGTATAACACCAAGCTCTCAAGGTTTTCGCTGACCCTTATTACTGGGTTACAAATATTCCCACAGCAGTCTGCAAATATTTCAGTGCAGAGGAATTCTTTCAAGACTGTTTTATCCATAAATGATCCGCTTAATTAACGATGCTTAAGTTACGACCATCCTCTGATATATTCATTATTATTCTGTATTGTACATTTGATTTAGTTTCACATGCACCTGGTGTGCGATTGGATTGAATAATAAATGTTGTATACTTGTGTAATAAAAGTATTAAGTTAAAATTACAGCATATTCTCACATATCACAAGCTTCTGTCTCCTTGGTAACCATGGTCACGTGTCACGTGTTGTGATTGCCACACTTAATTCCTACTGTGGCTGGGAGATGGCTCTGGTATCAGGAGCAGATACACTAACATCCCTCAGGATATGAATATTTTTCTTACTTTTGGCCACAGGGCAAAAGGCAGGGCAATGGTAGGTGACATAACCATTTCATTAGACAGACTAAATACGTATATTTCTACTTCTGCTCTCGTATGATACACATTATTTAGTATAATTCCTGTTGCATTGCCTACAATTACTTAAGTAATATTTTCCTGATATTTTCTTGACTTTTAACTGGTGTTAAACTTTATATTCATCATCCCTAAATATATATTGCTTCAAGCCAGTTTTGCTACTTTCCGGGCAGTACATTATATTTACCTCAACCTCTCCTAGATGGACTTTTGTAGGCTAACTGCTGTTTCATTTGTGACACTGTCCCGGCTTTGACCATTGGAGTTATTAGCGCAGGCCTAGTTTATCTAGCTTCTGTTAGGCCGATGTGTTTCTCTAATATGACATCAGTTTCACTATTTTAATTAAAATACTGCCTTATGGACAATTATCTGTTGAACCATTAATTAATGTCAAGTATATACATTCTTGCCTGTGCCCGTAACTATATGTTGTGTAATGCCTTGTAGATAAGTACGTATAGACATGCGCCAATCATGACACTATTATCTATATAAACATTTTTTAACTTGATGACCGCTTGTGTGGCAGTGCTAGTGTCACTCCACAGAACCATTATTGAGTACTGTTGGTGTAACAGTCTTATATTACTTCCTCACGGGTCATTTATTAATATATAATCTCCACGCGGATATGACGCGTTAGATTTACGGATTTCTGTACATATTAACTCTGTAACAATTCCTATTAATACTATGCCCATGAAACATTAACGAAGTAAGCTCCATTAAATAAGTTAATGTATTCTTAATATACGCATGATAATATACATGCTGTATATTCCTATATTTTGAAGAACACATTATATTACTAAGAGATGAATAGTTACCATCAATTCTTCTATGAGTTTCTAAGGACATCCTTACACATCTAAATTTATTTAGTTACATAATGTGATATTCTAATATTCAGTATATACTTATTATATCAGTTATACACTGAGATATACTTTTTTTGTAATTGGACTTGTATATTAAAGCCACTTGACCGCCACCATATGTAATTAATATTATATATATTTAACTTAGTGGTGGATCACTCTTATCTTTAATAGATACTCGTATTAATCTACTTTTTTTTATACATTTACATATTTTCCATAATCATAAATTTAGTGATAACTTCATCCATTTTTTTTGATTGTCTGAACCTTAACCTTACATATTTAACTAAATAAATTCTTTAATTTTATTAACTATTTAGCTTATTTCCTGAAAATGTTTTACTATTTTATTTATTAATTGATTTTAAGCAGTAGCTGAATAACCTAGATATTAATTTCCCTAGACCAATCTTTGAATACTTTAATTTAGTTTGAATTCTTATTACTGCCAACTCACAGGCTTAAGTGTGAAAATATCTTAAGTCTGATAATTAGACTAATAATGTTTTACTCCCTGTGTTACTACTGTTAATATAGTTAATACACATAGCAGTACTAATTGTATTAACAACATATTAACAGCATTAACACCTGATTAACAGACAATTTAAAGTGATAACAATAATAAATCTATCTTTTCCTTGATTAACAGACAATTTAAAATTATATTAATAAATCTGAGCTTATCCTTGCTTAACAGACAATTTAAAGTTAGTGTCGTAATATTCCTGCATCAACTAGGGCACTTCCCGCTTTTACTCCTGCCTGTTTTTGTATAATTTGTCGAGTAATCTCGCAATCCAGGAAGATGCAACAACACAACCTTGCTGCTCGGACTTACCTCAGTAGCCTAATGTTAGAGCCCCAGGAAGTTTGTTACGTAGTATTTCCCGCTTGTTGGGGTTTTGATAAAACCTTCCCTCTAAACTAAATAAAATTATTGTATGTTTTGTGTATGCTGTAATTTGAAACGAAGATTTGAATTAACCTTACGCAAGATAGTCCAAATTTTTATTTCATGTGAAAGAAATGGAAAGTTTAGGTACTACTGAAACCTAGACACTTTTACAACATTATATTAATAAAATATGTTTGGTCAGTGCTCGCTTAAGCAACACTGTTGAGGGCGTGAGTGGAGGTGCTACATGAGAGGAAAAAAGTGCAGGTGGATAAGCTTCTTAGATTTATATATTTGTTTAACAACCTAAACAAATGTTTGTATTCTAACAGTGCCATTTCTACTTAGCAAATGAGTAAATGCAAGTTATTTTAAGCCTGGTTACGTTAACAACAATTACCCAGAATCTGTTTAATATATTTGCAAATAGAGGCATATAAACTGCATGAACAAGATTTTACTCGAGTTGTAAAGCAGGCCAGGTAAACACACACACACAATACATATACGAATACTTTGACCATAGCCTGGTAAAGAGGGGAAGGAAGAAGGATAGGAATATAAGGGTATGGGTGAGAAAGGTGGTTAAAAAAAAAGAGAGAAATAGCTCTCCAACTTTTTGTGTTTAACACAATATATTATGGCAGTGAAAAACTTTAAAAAAACAAGTACTATGTGAAGACAGTCTGACTGAATGAGTACACTTAATAAGACAAGCACTCTGAGACTCACCCGGAACTCTGCGGTACACCTCCTGGAGACAACTGACCACCGTCGCCTGCAGCCTCTGCAAGATAGACAACCAAGTAATAATTTAACTGAACGCTAAACTAAATTTATTAAGCTTTTAAATCAGTGACAACACACAATGGGGGGAAAGTTGGGAGGAGCCGTGTAGGACAGGGTCACAGTGCCAAATATACACCAGTGTGTGTCTGGCACCTATCTACCACATCACACACTCACTGTATATGGCTCATAGGTGTGCTTATCAATTCCTGTGGTTGGAACTTACAGTGGGTAACCTCTCCCAGGTGTGCTGGTATAATGTGGTTAAGGTTATCGATGTTTGGTTCTCCGTACTCACTTTATTGCGGTTGAGAGGGTCGGGTCTCGGCTCATCTCCCCGTCTATCAGTTACATACGAATGGACACATTCTTGGCCTCACATTATTTATCATAACTATGCTCAAAACTGCATATAAAATATGTGTGACAAATGGTTTGAAAACCGACAAGTTGAAGATTGAGACACGCAACATATGGGAATCTTTATTAAGGAAACGTTGCGCCACCCAGTGGCTTCATTAGTCCAGTACAAAGCAGAAATGGGTAAGGAGAGAAGTTTGAGGTAATCGGTCTCTCAGCCTGGAATCGATGTGTTAAGTCCATCACTCTTGTAGGAAGTACAACATATGGCCGGAGAAGTGGCTTGTTATATACTGTAGTCAGGTAAGTCGAAGCAGAAGGCGGAATTACAGTGGAATCATACACTAGTGTAAGTAGGTCTTCGTCCGAAGGTTGGACAAGTATTCAAGAATTCCTTGTATCAAGATCCCATAATGTTGCAGTGTCTGACGGATATGGCAAATGGTTTGAAAACCGACATGTTACATAAATGTCTCAATTTTCAACTTGTCGGTTTTTATACCATTTGTCACATCTGTCAGATAATGCAGCATCATGGGATCTTGATACAAGGAATTCCTGAATACTTGTCAAACCTTTGAACGAAGACTTACTTACACTAGTGGATGATTCCAATGTGATCCTGCAGCCTCCTGCTTCCACTCACCTGACTACAGTATATAAGCCACTTCTCCGGCCCTATACTGTACTTTCTACAAGTGATGGACTGAATACATCGATTCCAGGCTGAGGGACTGATTACCTCAAACTCCTCCTCTCCTTACCCATTTCTACTTTGTATTGGACTGATGAAGCCACTGTGGCGCAACGTTTCTTTAATAAAGATTCCCATATGTTGCATAAGTGTCTCAATCTTCATATAAAATCTGCTTCCAACACTCCATGCAGACCATTCCATTTTCTAAGCACCCTCAGACTGAAGTACGGCTTTCTGATATTCTAGTAATTCACTTGTGTATTAAGGTTCCACCTGTTCCCTTATCAAGTACTCTTTCTACCTTTACTCTATCGAGGTCCTGAGTAACTTGTACATTCCTATAGCTTAACTGTGATTGCAAGGGCTGATTCACAGCTCCTGGTTCCACCTCTCAACCAATATATAGCAAACGGTTTTACTTGTTCCTAGTCTTCAGGATCTGGATGATGCTTACTTTTGTATTGTTTCTGGTGTTTGTCTTCGCCACCTCTTCGTCTAGCTCATTCCATGTATTACCATAAGACAAAGTGTATTTCATGACGTTCCTGTGGCTCATGTTCCTCTTTAGCTACCATCGTTGTGCCTAGTCGTCTTCTCTTATTTTCTCTTCTCTTATCTGCTTTATTTAGTCCCGTGAGTATTTTAGATGTCCAGATCACTTGTCCCCGGGTTCTCTCTCTTCTTGGATTATCGAGTTCCTTTAGACTCTCCTATGTAGTGATTTTTTTTTGCGATATGTGATGTGTAGTGATGTTTTCAGTGTTGTGGCTGTAATGTAATGTGGTAGGGAGACGTCTGATGGGTACGATGGCGAATATATAGTGATTTTATAGTGTGGTCTTTGATGGTATATCGAAGTGCTTGGAAATATGCTATGATTCCATGTGATATACCGGAGAGTTTGATAATCATTGCTGAAATATGAAAAGGAAGAGGTCATCTAAGTTCTAACTCTCGGCAAAGAAGTCTTCCTTCGATCCCTACTGGGGAGGGGAATTTATAATGTACAAGCGTCACTTCCTTTTTCACAGTGCTGTCGTATCCTGTGAAAATCAAGCCTGTGAATGGAGTAATCAATGACTCCTCGAAGTTAGCTTCAGCTACCGCCGCTAGAACCTGCCTGCAGGCCAAATTTACGGTAATCCACTCTCTGAAGGACTCCTTCATTGTCGTCTGCACAGACGACAATTAAGCCTCAAAACTAATGGACGACTCTTCAGTCAAGACCCTACAAACACGACAGTTCACCATATCCCCGTCTCCATTCTTGAAGGCGAAACGTTCGGTCTTTGTGAAAAGATTGGACAAGATCGTCACCTCTCTCTCTCTACTGAAGCACTGAAAACACCTGGGCCTCGGTAGATAGCATCTCTAAAGATCCCTAACGCCTCATCTATGCTAAAGATCACATTCTCAGACATCTCCATGGCTGCCCAAGCTCTCTCTAACGGTCTGGCCATCTCATATTATCACATTCACCCAAGCCATATAGATCCAGAACGTTTCACACACGTCTCCCACTGCTGGACCTGCTACTCCTATAATCACACCACCAAGAACTACCCCATCAAGTTTTGTTCAAAATGTGGGAATGATGGACACGAATTCAGATCCTGCACCATCACTACAGCTCCAATATGTCTTAACTGTCATACCCTTGCAGCTAAGTGCCCACTCAGGAATGAAATCATATCGAAGAAAACTAAAGATCTGAAGAACACCTCCAATTCACCAACATACACAGCAATAACCAAACTACAAGCCAACACCACCAAGATTCTACACGCCACTAGACACCTTCGCCCAGCAACTCCCTCTCTCCACTCCCCGACAGTGCTCCCTAGAAGGTGTGGTGCTACATGGTGTATGCACACCTTGCAAATGCAGCAAACCCAGGCACTTTCAACATCACTATTAACGAACTATTCCGTCTGAACAACATGCCTGCCTTCAATTTCCCGGACTCCACACCTTCAGCTGGCACCCTCAAGATCCTTCCTAACGTCGTGAACTTTACTGCACCTGCAGACCTATCTCCTGCCCAAGCAACTGCTCCTGTAACTTCTATAACCACTTCCACCGCCGACAACAATGATCATGTTGCCTCAACCACCGTTTCCCACGCCTCCCAACCTGCTGTTACACCATTACACCTCTCCACTGCTCCTGTCGACCCTCAGTCACCTGCAAACATCACTGTAGACTCGCCAAATGAATCCACTTTAGAAGAAGATAGTGACGACTCCAGTATAACCTCATGGGAAAACCTTACCTTCTACACTTCTCCATCGAATGCTGACACCATGACCTGCACTGAGCTCTACAAAGGCCTTGGTGCTGGAACAGTTAAGCATGCCTGTGAATCACCTCTTTACTTCACACTCACCAAGCCTCTACGTTTCACCTTCAGTAACAAGACTAAACTATACCACCTCTCTAGGAGCAGCTTCAAAAAGTTTGAAAACGGCTCCACTACAAACCTGCCTCCTCAAGTACTCCTCTAACCAGCACCTGTGTGCTACCCTCTGATATTCCTACCTGCCTACCCTCTCCTTCGACCTAGAAACTGTCAGCTTCTCAAAACTCAAGAAATTAACTACCACGAGACCGACGCCACAGCTTGCTCTTCCTGTTTTCTCCAAGTTCGTCCCACCAACGCCTGGCAGCTGGGTTAAGCCCTGGCTCTTTTTCTTCGACTGTGCACACTCCTCTCCACCGCTATTCTTCGCCTATCCTGTCTTCCCAGCTCACCCCACATGGGGTCTTACCTAAACTCTCTTGATCTTGAGCTTAACTCTCGGCATAGGGCGAGCACGTTAGTAATGCACCTCGGATATTAAAGTGTTATAACCTAGAGCTCTTATGAAATTTACTAGGCAGTGAAAAATTATTGCTAGTTTATTCATCAGGGAAACAACCTTAACAGGGGTTTATTTGTCAGTAGTGCCAGCACTACAGTGGAGGCGCTGCAAATCAGTGTTGAAGAGATCAGGAAGGTGGGGAAGCCGGTGGCCCTCCCTCTGGTAAGCTATGACAACACCGAACCGATGAACTGGTGCTGGATTCAGTGTGTGAAAGCTTCATGGTTTGGGCTTAAATTGCATGGCCCTGGAGGTGAGATGAAGCAAGACCTGGGTGGCACTGCATGGTGATGACTACAGGGGTTACTTAGCATGCTGAAGAAACACACTTGCAGCTCTCCTGTAGAACTATCTACGCAGGGTGAAGGGGCAGTAGTGATGGTGGTACCAGGAACGTGCCTCATCAGTATGGATCAAGCTGATGCAGCAAGGACGGCTTCACGCTCAACTACTGCCACTGCACTTCCTATCACGGAACTGACACAAGGTGGTGGTAATTGTCAAAAACAAATTCATCACGCAGCTTCAAGAATATGTTATGTTAGGCACAAGAGGCCAAAAATTATTAATGTCTATCAAAGTAATATAGGAGGTGGGGCCAGGAGCTGAGACTCGACCCCATAAACACATATCAGTGAGCACACTCCCTCAGCACCGCCGGACCCACTTACTTTCTTACACAATATAATTCTCAAATGGTATAAATACGGAATGGATTGAAAATATGCGCGCGTGCGTGTGTTCATACGTGAATCATTTCAGTTATTTAAAAATCATGTAATTAAGACCATTTAAAATTGCCTAACTTTTCATAACAGCAGCAGCAGCAACATACCAAATGGAGTAGCTTTTGTCCCCGCCCTGGCCTCGTTACAGATCTAGTAAATCCAAGACTTGATAGTGGAGTACTCGGGTCAATACTAATGTTGCGTGTCAGTCTGACAAACTTCTGCGTAATGTCTGGCTCTTTAGGTAGACACCCTTAACCTATGTTAAGAGTAACAATTTTATATATATATATATATATATATATATATATATATATATATATATATATATATATATATATATATTATATAT